CCCGAAACGTCAGCTTTCCTGCTCCTCTGCTGCTTGGCCTGCTGTGTTCATCCAGCTCTACACCTTGTTATCTGACTAATGGTACTGTGGCCCAATTAAATTCAAATCTGGTGTGGAGCTGGATGAACACAGCAGGCCGGGCAGCATCGGAGGAGCAGGAAGGCTGACGTTTCGGGCCTCGACCCTTCTTCAGACCCATTTCTGGGGGGAGGTCTGGGCCCGGGGCGTCAGCCTTTCTGCTCCTCTGATGCTGCTTGATCTGCTGTGTTCATCCAGCTCTACACCTTGTTATCTCAGGTCTACCTGGACAGTCCTGTTTGTGGATTTTTGGCAGGAGGTAGAAACGAGCTGTGCGGGGTTGGGGGACTATTAGCTTGGAAGCGGATGGGGGGAGATCACCGGATGAAATGAGATCCGTAACCGTAGTGGATACAATGGCCTGATGTGCCATTGTGGGTCATGGTCCAGGGGAAGGTAGGAGGAGGTATCCAAGAGCTGGCGCTCAGCCTCTGAAAGGTAGATAGAGGTCAGTACGCCAGACAGCAACAGCACCACCCTTATCGGCAGGCTTGATGACAAAGTCAGGGTTAGTTCGGAGGGAGATAGGTTGGATTTGTTGAGGGTGCAGTGAAATTGAGGCGACTAATGTCACGTTGACAGTTCTCAGTGAAAAGATCGAGTGCAGGTAAAAGGCCGGAGGGAGGGGTCCAGGTGACGGGAGAGTGTTGGAGTTGGGCAAAGGGGTCTGTGGGACGGGAAGAGGACTGTTGTCCAAAGAAATGAGCACGGAGGCGAAGACGGCAGAAGAACAGTTCGGCGTCATATCGTGCCCGAAATACGTTAAGATGGGTCGCAAAGGGATAAGGCTGAGGCCTTTGCTGAGCACAGAGCGTTCAGCATTGGAGAGCGGAAGGTTAGGAGGGACGGTGAATACCCTACAGGAGGTGCGGGAGTTGGGGGAGGGGATAGAGTCAGAGGGAAGGGGAGCAGAGGTAGGTTCCAGAGGGCCATGGGTATTTTTGAGTTGTTGCATCTTGTGGGCACCCTACTTTCTGCCCACACCCCACTTCCTGTAAAGATTCCATCCCATTCTCTCGGTTCCTCTGTCTCCGAAGCATATGTTCAGATGAGACCAACTTCTACAAGGGAGCCTCCGAAATGTCCACCTTCTTCCTCAACCGAGGATTCCCCAGCTCTGTTGTCGACAGGGCCCTCAACCAGGTCCGACCCATCTCCCGCACTTTCGCTCTCACCCCTTCTCTTCCCTCCCGCAACAGCGATAGGGTTCCCCTAATCCTCACCTACCATCCCACCAGCATCCACATCCAGAAGATCATCAGACGCCATTTCCGCCACCACCAGACACATGTTCCCCTCCCCTCCCTTGTCCGCCTTCCGCAGGGACCGTTCCCTTCGGGACACCCTGGTCCACACTTCCATCACCCCCAACACCTCCCCACAGTCCTACGGCACCTTCCCCTGTAACCGGCAAAGGTGCAACACCCTGCACATTTACCTCCTCCCTCCCCAGAATCCAAGGGCCCAAACATACCTTCCAGGTGAAGCAACACTTCACCTGCACTTCCCACAATCTAGTCTACTGTATTCGCTGCTCACAATGTGGTCTCCTCTACATTGTGGAAACCAAATGCAGACTTGGCGACCGCTTTGCAGAACATCTATGTTCGGTTCGCAAAAAAGACCCGGAACTACCTGTTGCCTGCCACTTCAATGCACCACCCTGCTCCCTGGCCAACATCTGTGTCTCTGGCTTGCTACAGTGTTCCGGTGAAGCCCAACGCAAGCTGGAGGAACAACACCTCATTTTCCACATGGGGACCTTACAGCCCTCCAGACTCAATATTGAGTTCAATAATTTTAGGGCCTAAACTCTCCCATGTCCCAGCACCCCCATCCCATATACCAGGCCTTGTTACCACGTAGCCTGCCATTACACACCCCCTGGTGTTAGTCGCTAACAGTCCCCATTAACAGCTACTCACCATCCCAGTTTGATCGTTAGTAACTCCTTTGTCTGTCCAACTGTTTTGTCTCTCTCTTTGGGCTCTATCCTATCGTTTACTCCCTACCCCACCCACCTCCCTATTTTCTGCATATAAACTGACGTTTTTCCAGCCATCATAGTTCTGAGGAAGGGTCACTGGACCCGAAACGTTAACTCTGTTTTTTCCTCACAGATGCTGCCAGACCTGCTGAGCTTTTCCAGCAACTTTGTTTTTGTTCTTGATTTACAGCATCTGCTGTTCTTTTGGTTTTTATCTAGAAGTGAAACATTTGAGTTCTGTAGAGACACTAAGGTTCTTCTCCTGAGACTGCATTATGTTAAGGGAGGATTGATAGATGTGTTTAAAATCTTGATTGAGTAAATATAGAGAAACTATTCTGTCTGGTTAAAAAAAAATCAGTAGCTGAAGGACACATGTAAGAATGATGGAAAAACAGTAGCAATATGAGGAAAACTTTGGCACCATGAGTTGTGAAGTGGAATGCAATGCCTGAAAGGGTAATGGAAGCCTATTCAATTCAAACAATTAAGATACAGGGCGGTTAAGTACTTGAAGAGGAAAATACATTATAGGGCTACTAGGAAGAGAGCAGAGAAATGGTGTGTGGTGTGTGTGTGTGTATATGAATGAATGTACATGGCCGAATGGCTTCCTGTGGTGTGTACCATTCTGTGTGTCCATAATACACTGCAGTAATCTGCAATGAGAGATGGTCAGATTTGGTGTTATTTTTACATGATTAAGTTACAGTAAGTGAGTTGAAACTCATAAGGTTCATTTTGCACTGCAGGTGATGCCACCTCACTGTACACTCTCAAACATGCATACGTACACATACATTCACTCACACAAACACATTCATTCACACAAACCCTCTCTCTCTCTCTCGGTCTGTGTCTCTCTCTCGGTCTGTGTCTCTCTCTCG